ATAAAGAAACAGAAAAAACCAAAAAAAAAAATTTGGTCATCAACTTGGTTTGGGTAAATCCTAAGTAATTACTGATAAGAGCGTCGACGCAGTGTAGTTATGCTTAACCTATTGCAAATTTTCCAATAGTGATTAACAATATTCTAGAAAAACATTTGATTTATGCTCACAAACACATTTACACTGCTTTAATATATTTCTTAACAGTCTTCATAAATAGATCGATTACTTTATCAGGAAACAGGAGAAAATAATTGAAAACAAGTTAAAACCTCATAGTCGGGCAAAGACGGCTTTTAGATATTCTACATCACTCCATTTAATATGGCAAGTATACATATTTTTTCTGCTGCCACATCAAGACCTACATGGATCTAGAAAAATCGATTAATATAATTAGTATTTAACAAAGTTACTAGTATGTATATGTGTAAAAAGTTTACTGAATCTTATTAAGGCATAAATTGTGACCTTTCGGCAATAGAAAGGCTCGTTGCATTGCAAGAGCGTTTATATAAAAGTGGAGTTCAAAAAATGGCTTTCTTTTCCTATGTAAATTTACAAAAAAAAAAATATTCAAAAATTCATTAAACAATTCCAGGTGCATTAACATAAACAAAACCTTGGACATAATACGCAAACCGTAATGAGAAATTTATTTTAGTATTGTGGTTTTCTCAACAAGGTGTATAGATTATCGCGTTTTTGAAAGAATGGGATCAATTGTTTTGAATTAATTTACGATTCAGGAAATTGAAAAAAATTAAATAAATAAATATAAATAAATAAATATATATATATTTATTTTTATATATATAAAAATATCTCATGTTTTTCCTTTCATAAAATAGCATGAATATGTTGCTAACAACTGAAATACTTTTTATACTTTTTATGTTCATTTTCATTAGTATGGGTATTGAGAAATAAATATAATGCATATATATAATATATATATATATATATGTTTGTCTTATCTCCATTGGTGTTATCTGCGTTTCATTGACTAAGAAGAACAGCTGCTTCTCATAATGAATTGGGTTAAATGGGCGGGACTATGACTCCTGTGGAATGTTAGCGTTGTCCGACTAGGTAGAAAGCTAAAAATTTCCAACAATCAGAGTAACTTTTTAATTGCACCAGAATTTCGAGAGGATGAGCTTTTCTTTACTCGTTTACTCGCTTTGATATAAGATTGAGTAGAGTATGATGTGCCGGTAAAAATATTTTTGCAAAGTCACTTCTTATTGCCTTTAAGATTAACACTAGAAAGTAATAAAATCTGAGACGAAACGTAGAATACCTTCGGTGACAGCGCCTACCATTAGTCGACCATTTCCACTTTATGCTCTTTATTAATGCATACGTCAAACTTCGCATTGCACCTATCACTAATGCGAGATTGCGAATAAAAATACATTAAAATTTCCATTCGAAATCGCTTTAGGACTCGAATATTGATTGTCCATGGCCTGGTTATAAGAAAGTTGAAAGGTGAACGAAGAGCTTCACCGCAATACAAAGGGTAAATTTACTATAAATATTTTACTTAGGGAATCCCAAAAATCCAATTTCGGGGTTTCCCACACAATATTATGGGCCGAACGAAAGGAGGACGTGGGTAGGTCAGGGTGCATAATAGCTCAGGACAAAGCAACAGACCGTACGGTAAGAAAGCTTCCATCGTCCATCTATAGTTCTCGAGGGTAACCGTTCATAGAGGGTTTGGTGGATGAAAAGAGAAACTTTTCCAAAATTGTCGGGCTAACTACCTTTAGAACGGCACATGAATATGTCCGTTACATCCTCCGACCTGGATGCATTAGATCTTAACTTTACGAGTGAATAGAAAGTGGACTTGGAGCCAAAATCAAGCTTGCTTACAACACCAAGTTACCAAACTCTCTCGAAACTATTGGTAGATCAATATTGAGCTTCGGCTTCATCTAATCAATCGGTAAGTGCCGGCGGAGTTCATTTAAAGGCTTGAGAAACAAAATTTACTTTGAGATTGTTGCAGACGTCTGCTTGAAATATTGCTGCAAATATTTAGTAGGACTATATAGAATCATAAATAATAAATCCGATAATCGTGAAGTTAACACAAAATGCGATTTCATCGCAAGAAAAATTTAACCTTTCACTTAAGCTTTGCTTTAGTAAATTGCAATTAATGTATTGACGCACTTAAGCGAATGAATTAATTAATGTTCCAAGTTTTTTTCTACTTTCTCTCTCTCTGTCCTGCAATTAGCATATGGTTTGTATTTATATTAAAATGGGGGCAAATGGGTCGGACGATGTGTATGGGTATAAAACTCATTTACTGTTATTTACCAAAATTACTACAAAGATTACTCGCTTTCCAAGATTGCGTAGATTGACAGGGACACTGCAGTCAATTGTTATCATAGATAAACTCCAAGAAGAAGACAATGAGTAGATTACAATCTATATAGCAGATCACACCATAATATAAGCCACGATTGATATGTTTTGAAATTTCATTTTGTTATTGCATTTAGACTTAAAAACACTTTTCTGTGCAACTGAAGGTTATTGCTCACGCCCGTGAAGCTTTCGATTAGTCCGAGCCCCTTGAGCTGAAGTAGACCGAAAGGTTTTCTTCTCCATTCAATGTCAATTAATTAAAACCGATAGATGAACTTTCGACGGTGCAATGAATGTGTATGTATGTATGTATGTAACACATTAAAAAACTGATTCGATTCTTTTGTTTGGTTATTGCTTTTTGCTAATTGAATGTAAAATCATTATCATATTGAGTTATCAGATTTAATATAAAAAAATTTAATTACGTTTTATTGACTTTTCATTCCAAGTATTCGATGCAGCACATACAGCTACTCTCTAACAATAAATTGTAATAAATATGTATATATGTGTGTGTGGAATTTTGAAAAAGTTCAAAGTTCAGTTATTACCCCCTTGTATGCACAAAAACATTCATTAATATATTTGCAGTTGTTTGCATTTATTTATTGCATTCATTTTTCGCTTATTGTTGTTATTGCTATTACTAAGTACTGGTACTACATAGACTAGCGAATGCATTAAGTTGAAGCGATATTTTGCAATTTTTGCATTTTGCAAAGGAGAATGAGTGCGAATTTTATACGAATTGTATGTTCGTTTACAAATCATTGAAAAAGTACGGTATTGCGGAACTCATATTTCACTAAGGCACACTGAAGAAGGAGACGAAGAAGATGAAGAAGAAAAAAAAAAAAAACAAAATAAGCTTTCTAATAAAGTTATCCGTGACAAAATGCAATTATTCATGCATTTCGACTTCGATAGGGTGTTTATTGATCCAGTTTGTTTTGCCAACACATAAGAGTGTCTCTGTTGTAACAGCGAACGAGTTGATATGCGGTTTTTTTCACTAAATACAAGTTCACGTGTTATAAAGTTCAGTGTACTTGAAATTGATTTGGGTTTCGTTGAATGTAAATAAGCTATGAACTATAGTTTACGGCTTATGGCATACGGCTTATGGCTTATTACGGTCTGTTTGTCTGTGGCTTTACCTGTCTCCATTGAAACTCTTTCTTTACCCATCACGCCAATGGCATATAAAATGAAATTCGACACGGTTTGTTTATATGTCAATGTTATGAATAAAATGCTTGAGATGATATTGATTTCAGTTCAGAATTTTACCACAAAGGATTTGTAAACGTTTGCTATTTTTCATTCTATATATATAAATATAGACATCAGCTGAACACTTTATTTTTATAATGTTTTTTCTTTCTTTATGACTTTATGATTGATAAGACATTTAATTATTATTAACGCTGATTACTTTATTTATTTATTTAAGCAAATTTCGATTAAAATGTTCAGTTAACATTGTATTATTGGTTAGTTTTAAAGCGAGTTTCATTTAATTGAACACAAAATTAAATAGATTTTGTAGATAGATATCGTTTTACAATAAATCTTTTTTTAAAGAGACCGACCGACCTATCTATAAAGTGAATAACCGGTAGTGTGTACAATGACACTAAACATAAAAAATAGTTGACTACTAAAAATTAAGATTAGGATCACTTTAGCTCGCGGACAGGGAGTCAGTGGTTTAGAGTGGTTTACCTTAAACTTTCTTTATAAAACCAGACCAAGTTCGCCTCGATGTTTTCTCCCGTCAATTATAATTGATTAGGAATTGGAACTTGAATTAGCCAACTATTTGCCTTACCGTTTATCTTAGTTGCTTTTTGCTAAGAAACTATAAAATGAATTTGGAAAGATACCACTTGCGCCTACAGATTTAACTGGAAAGAGTAGCGCCAAATAGATAAAGTGAGTGGAATTGCTGCCAAGTGAAATGAAACTGAAATGTTATGCATATATGGAAAAGTGTGAGCGGGAAGTTTTATGCCCAAAATTTAAGGCTTGCATATTAACTTATCATCAATCAATATCTGAAACTCGTTTTCTTTACTTTTATCAAGAACATTTTATGATCCGTCTTCCTCGAGTAATGTATACAAAAAATGTGTATGTATTTTGAAAAGATGTATTGTGTGAAAGAACGAATGTTTTGCTAAACTAAAACTATTATCTTCGCTATGTCCGAGAGTGTTTTTTATTTAACGACATTTGCAGCCTAATGTCCGAGGAAGTTCAACGGCTTCGTTTTACTTGGCCGTTAACACATTGGATGAAATTTTCCGTAGTTAAACAGATTTTCGGTGAACGTACGTATATTGACAGTTTTCAAATACAGACAGACAGACTGATAAAAGAAGCTAATTAAAATAATCTCGAATCTGCCGTAATGGATGTGATCGTCCCTTAAAAAGCATTAATAATACTTTCTTCTTTCTTACATACACACATACATTTCAAAAACACCTCTAAGGAGAAGATTAAACGAAAATTGAAATTCACCTCAGCATATTGTTATTGGAAACATTTCGATTTCACTTAATCAGTCAGTTCTTTCTGTTTCTCTTTCCCCTCTCTTTCAGAAAAATTTATAATTATTTTGCAAGAGCATCTAAATAATGTATAGAGAAAAAGAAATGGAAGTAACTAGTGCTATCCATGATCCCAAGTGGAGTTTGGAGCGTCGCGAATCGTCTGGTCTATTAATTTGGCGTAAAGAGTCGCCCCGTTCAAGGATACGTTTTCGTTTTGATGTCGAAGTACTTGAATTTGAAAAACATCCGCACGAAGATTATGTTCATCACGAGAATAGCTTATCAATCGGTAACATATCATCGACAGTAGCGTTATGTGCCACTTGTATAGCGGCGGTTGCAGTGAGTGTCTTTCTACCGTGGTACATAATGGAGAAAGCAGTTGGCTTCTAGTTTTAAATGAATTAATTAAACAATCAATCAGAAAAAAAAAAAATTAATTTTTTTTGCTTGCATAGATAGCATTATACCAATGCAAGGGCTCAAAAGTACTGATCATCATATATTATTGTCATCGTCATTGTCGTCGTCATTCATGTTTGGCAGGATAAATGCATATGTATGATGGCATAAGCAATTTAAAGCGCAACTCGCTTTTCGTATTCTTTTTAAATTAATTCTAAGTAATCTTAACTATTGTAAAATTTTCTTATATATATATATATCTGTATATTTATTATTATTACTTTTTGTGAGATGTGTCTGTGATGGAAGTAACAAAGTTATTTAGAAAACATATATCATCATTTGCGTTGATATTAATTAAATTAATTAAAATAAATTTTAATTAGTTTATAACTTAGTTATACAAAAAGGCATCCGGATCTTAAAAGTAGCGATAGTTTTTTCGATATGTATGCATTGGTTTCAATGTGAATGATGAATAAATTTACAATTCGAACGACTAAAAACCAATATTTTGGTAAATCCATAAAGCGTCCGATGTATGTTTTTTTTTTTGGGGAATTTTTCATATTTTTATTATAAAACAAAATTCGCATCAATTTACCGCTAACTGAAAAGTTTTGATTTTATTTCGAGCAAGAAAATTCCGCCCACCAAGCAAGCGTCCAAATGAATGACGATCCATTCATTATATGTAAACAGCTTATGTACATGGAATTAGTTGCCTCCAGTCGAGTAATTCTTCTCACTTCCTAGCAATTGATGAATAAACTGAGCAAAAAACAATGTTTTCAATATGAAAAATTTAAGAGAATTTCAAACGTGAAAGGCTTTACAAGTTACGACGAATATAACGACGCTTGTAAGAGATTATCAGACAGCGTGCTTCAACTATACAACACGTATTCATCAACTATGAAGTAATTTTTGTTTTTTTTCCTACGAAATAAAAACAAAGCTCTATATTGCATAAGATTAGCGAGTGAAAACACTATTTACGTTTAAACCGAATTTCATATACCCATCACCTCAACGTTTTGCCCCAATCCGTTGAGAAGTATCCATTTGCATACATAGACAGTTCGGATACGGACTAGCATCACAATGTCATTCGTCGATTTCTTTTTCCTTTTAGATACTTTTCGGTTTCTGTTCATCGTAGGGGATGTGAGAATAGGTCACGCCCATATTCCTTCTTCTGCTTTCTTTCAACTTGATTAAAGTTAAATATTTCGAATTTTTTACATTTAGGCGAACTGAGCCAAAATGGTATTCCATCGGTTAAAAGCGCACTGGTGGTGCTGCGACAAAACACAAGCCTTCCTTTGGCATGACAAAAACTGAATGGTGGAGGAAAGGGTAAAAATGGTTACTCGTTAATTTCACGCTTTTTTTTTTCATCTGCAAGGGATGTTGTCTGCCATTAAGTGTCTTTTACACGCCTTAATGGGAACGTATTGTGCTTGCGATGACGCCATTTTGTGACAAATAATATCTACTTCGATGTTATAAAGCATATGATGGCATCGTTTACTCCATTCAATCGCAGTTATTAGTGATTAGAGGGATGAATCACTGAATCACATCAAATTGTATGTCGGCACAACTGCCGTTTGTCATATTAGTTTTTGCCTGGGGGTTCATTAAAATTTTACGAGATATCTCATTAAAAAGACAAGTTTAGGTAACAAGGAAAGCAAGTTGCCTTGTGAGGAAAAGAAGGAAACAAAATTAATTTAAAACATCAAATAAATGCGCCGGCAAAATAAAAAAGAAATCCAATTAATATGCGATCATAAATTCTAAACGTGCTAGCGTTTACCAAATGATATTTAAACGCTTGCAAATATTTTGTAAAATTTTAATAAGTCATTGGAGAAAAATTATCTTTGGGCTCTGCAGAGACAAAAGGTGCCTTAAATCTCGAAAATTATATGCCGCTGAGCGTAAGAAGCAAATTGTTCTGCTCGAGTAACACTCTTTCACCATTTTCAGCAGATTTACGTCCGGTAGCTTCAATAGGCTTTACTTAGGTAATCGTAAATCATCGTTTTAACACACCTTACGGTAGTGGATGGTAGTTAGCCTTGGCAATACTCTATGCTTTCGTAACAATACGAACAGTTAGTTAGGTTGCACCCTGGACTCAAAGTTACGCTTTATGTCGTTCCTAAAAAGCTTGGCGACCAAATTACGGTCGCTTTTTTGGCATTTTCTCTTAAAGCCAAAGCATTTGTGTCGCTAAATAATCTCAGCAACAACTTTTTCTAAGTGAAATGAAATGAAAGAGAAGCACCTCTAAATCGAATGCATGCGAAAACAAGAATCTTGCAAGTGTTTTTAAGTCGAACATTACCGCATATCCATTCTAAAATTTGGACTATTCGAGGCAAAGCTTGGCGGTTTTCTTTTTTTTTTTGACTATCGACAAGTGTTATCCGTTTACCGACAGAGCACTCAATATACAGGCAAAGGAAACTCTACCTTACCTGAGATTTGAACACTGATCAGATCAGAACACTGACTTCGTAAGCAGGGTTCTTATCTATTCGGTTACTCCGGCAGTATCTTTTGTCCCTTATGGGCGACAGAAGCGTTCCCATCTTAAAGCCCGAACTATCTGAAATATCTAACACACGTTTAGACTTTTTCTACATTGAAGAGATTGTCATTGTAGTAATAGTGGAGTGAAAGCGTGGATGGTCGCTTAGGGAAGTTGTTTATTTGGAACGCAATAATAAGGAGTATGATATATGGAATGCTTGCGTCGTTTATTGCCTTTTTTGCCTTGCGAAAAATGGAAACGTTAACTCAAGTAAGTAAAAATAGAAAAATATAGAAAACAATACTCAATAAAAGTTTTGTTTTTTTATGCGAACATAGGCAGGAAGCATATAAGTAATGAAGTGAAAGGGGATATGTATGGCCTTGGTATGTATGTATGTTTGAATGTAGAATGTCATGTGTGAAATATTCCCACCAATCAAAAGAAATGCAAAAACCTACATACAATTTATACCGAAATTCACATTGAGGCATCAGGGAAACAGAAAAGTTAGAAGGTTTCGCTGCGAAGTAATATAAACGATAGAACAAACATTATTTGCATACGTCGCTCCCTTCGATTGTCTCTACATATATATAAAATCGAGTGTTTGAGGGAGAGTCCATTCATTGAAACACATACATATGTATACATAAGTATGACAAGTAAGAAAATTATATTCTGTCGTGGCCGAATCATTTATACCTATCGTCGTTATCATAAAAAAGAAAAAGAAAATAGTAAAAGAAGAAGAAGAATTTTCATGCTCTATGGATTTCTCATTTCATTGCTTTCACATTTCACATTTTATTTCATGAAGTGGGCGCGGCAGATTTTTTCTATATTCAAAATACCATTTTTGCCGTAAAGGCGTGCCCTTGGTTTAAGTTTAACGGACAATTGAGCAGACGGACATGTTTAGGTGTATTCCAAATTTGAAACTGTCCAAGTATTTACATGCATGGGATTTTTGAAGTTTGTTTCTGCGCATTGTAAAGGTATTGAAAAAAATAATTAAATTTACATACACTATAAAATTGGGCCAGCGTGGTCAATTTTTTTACATTTTTGTACAGGTGCTACAGCATGACCCATAGAATATGCTTTCAATTTTTATACGTTTCTCTCTTGTAGTTTACGAGTAAGAAGGAAAAAAATTACTATTCATTCCTTTTGAAAAACAGGGGTTTTCTCAGTGTATATGCTGTTGTGGGCGTGTTCTTCGACCAGTTTGGCCCATTTTCAAACGCAACCTGCGTGTATTAACTTCTAATGTTTCTGCCAAACTTGAAGACGATAACTCCATTTTTGCGGCCAGGGGAATATTTAAAACAGACATTACACAGACACACAGACAGATGGACAGGCGGACGATTTAAAATTTGGTGCTGATCAAGAGTATATGCATTTTGTGGGGTATCTGGTGCTATCTTCTGGGCGTTGCAAACGTTTTGACAAAATAATTATACCACTCATCGATGGGTATAAAAATAATAGAACAATTAAAGCAAAATAGAAAAGAACAATAATGAAATGACTAATGTTAACTACATTTTTTTAAAGCATAGCTTTAGGGATTGTTTATAAATGCACATTTGAATCTGTGGCGCATTTCACTCGACAAACACCCTATCAAGTTATCTTTGTGTATTTCAATTTTAGTTCAAGTGCGACGTTGAAAAAGCAGGAAAAAACTTACTAGGGATGTTATGATACTTACTGTCGATATTATAATTGATTTGTAGCCAGATCTATGTGTTGAAATTATAGTTGCTTTTCATAGTTTTTTACTTTTCTCCTCATGCACTTCAGTTACTTTGTAATAGGTTGGCGGGAAACTCATAAATTACAGCAAATAAATGTATAAAAATTTGAACTCATATTCAATGGCCGATGCTGTAGCATTTACCAGCAAAAATAAAAAAAATTGATCAGGCCTACCATAGTGTATCAAAATTTGGTTAATTTCTCAACACTTTCATAACACGCAGAAACAAGCTTCAGCAAGCCCATAAAGTATAGAAATTCTTGGCCAGTTGCAACACTTGAATGCACATAAACATGTCCTCCTGTTCGTCTGTCTATCTATCTGTTTGCGCAACATTTGTGGTAAACATTCTCCTGTCAGCGGGAACGAATATATCGCCTGCAAATTTGCAAAAGAATTTGGAATTAACTTAAACTTTTCAAAGGACACGCCTACAATGCCCACGTGGCTTTACGACAAAAACATTTATTTAGAAAATAGAAGAAATCAACTGCGTCCACTCCATATTAAAGCGCACGATAATTTTGTTGCTTTACATCTTTTGCCGTTTTTCGGGGTAAATGGTGATGAATGGTGATGAAAGGTTAGGTCCCGACCGAATTTAATTTTCTTACTTGTTCTTTTTCGACCTGCAGGTAGTTTTATTGTTCAGCTCAAGCTAAGCAGATAGAGCGCGTTACGCGGTGGTGTAGTCCGTGCGGAATATAAGAGGACTACTTTCAATATCGTTCACCAGTTAGTTGCGAAGCGATGAAGAATGAATAAAGTGCAACGAAGACATAGCTTTTAGCGCATGGCATTTGATGTGAGTTCCAAAAAGTGTACAACGCATCGGTCGCTTGTGACACATTGGGAAGAAAATATTCGGACCTGCCAAAAATGACTTCGTCCCGGAGATTTCAGTCACATTTTGCTGTTCATGTTGCAGAGTAACTCACATCCAATCGGTTTGCAATTTCAAAGGAACCTGGCATCAAACTTTTTCAAATTGAAACGTTTTGCTTAAAATACAACAAAGTTTTCTAGCGAATGTACTCATTGTGGGATTTACTTAAACATCCACTGCTTCGTTTGGTTTACATGATCCTCTTTGGATTATTCCTAAATTATTGCTGCTAACTCCAATACTCTCCCGATACTCGTTTCAAAGCAAAAGGAAGAAATGTAGGGAATAATTCAGTTATTCTATAATTTCGTATCCTGTCTTGTAAAAAATTATTCAATAGAAGATCGCAAGTGACAGATATATGCTCCGGTTATTAAAAAATTGCATTTTTGAAAGATTCAATGCTATCCTGTCACTTTGTTTACACTACCGTCCCTCTTCTATTATGTAAGGTGTATATTATTCCTAAAAGACAAGGTGTCTCGAATATTACTACCACTTCTGAAGGAGCTGGTTCGCCTATATTTTAAAAGAATAATTTGCAAAAATATTCATCAAGAATTTGGTAACAGGTTTGAACAGCAAAACATTGAAGTGTTTATGAAAGTTTTATAAAAAAAACGATGACGAGGTCGACTAATCCCGATCGCGGTTAAAGTCGTACCTTTTTTTCTGCAAATTACAGGTACTAAAAATTCGTCTTAAGCCTTTTCATTTATCTTAAATAAATTTGTTTGCGTAAATTGTTTATTATTTTATTTTAACAGAATTGATCATTTGAACAAAAATTGAGAGAGAGAGAGAGAGAGAGAGAGAGAAATAAGTACAAGTAAAATTTCTTAATACATTTTGCGTTTTTTTTATGTAACAAAAAAAAAAAAAACGGTGAGAATTTAACTTCAAGTTTATTTAAGTAAACAAATGTTAAGTTTAAAGTAAAGGGAATTATTGCCTATTAGTTAGTGTATTAGTATTCAAGTTGGCTGGCAAATAAGTAGCGATAAAGCGGCCAAAAGATAACCATCAGAATTGTTCGCTTTATTACGATATTTATAAGATCGCATTCCCATAGTTCACTTAGCCAGTTAAGTAGAAGTTGCAATCGAGTAAGCACGTTGTTTGATGTGTGCGTTGTTTTGCTTTTAGAAAAATATTTAAAAAAAAAGAAAATAAATAAATATCTCGAAACGAAAAAGACAAAAATGTTTGTATTTCGTTTTCATATTTCTTTGTAAAAAGTTAGTAGTTATCTTGTAAAATTTGCCAAAGTTAAGACTGCGATCTACTATTACTATTAATGAACCTCATATCGCGAGCAATGTGCAAAATCTCAAATTTAAAATAATTTATTTTAATTTGCATTTGCGGTTTTAATAGAGAAGCAATAAATATCTAATCATAAATTTGTTTAATTGCCGCGTGTCAAGAGCCTTCTACAGATGAAGCAAGTGTTTGTGTAAATTTTTATTAAATGATCCGGTATTTGGCGTTTCTATCTCATTTAAATCAGTCGTCTTTCCATATCCACACGTTGCGGTCGTATCACTATTGTGCTAATCAAGTGCTTAAGTGTTGCGACAATCATTAAAAACTCATATGATGGATGGATGGATGATACTATTTTATATATGTGCTTTATAAAGGGCACCTACCTATCTGATGCGATTACGTATACGTGGACACGCAAATGCAAATGCAAAAAAAAAAAAGCATTCTAGTTGCCTTTCATTTAAATAGAAGATAATTAGTTAAATAACTATTTACACTTTTCAAGAGATTAAGTGATGGTATATACATATAAATCATATTAGAAGATAAAATTTATAGTTAAAAAGAGAAAAAAAAAAAGAAAAATTAAAAAATAAAATAAAAACAAAATTGTCATTGTGTGCTAAGATTAAAAAAAAAGAGTCAAGTGTTTTATTACAGAAAGGATAACTATTATCATTCATGTGATCACTTACAGAATAAGAAAAATAAAAATAAACTATGAATAAAACTGAAAGAAGAACAATAAAGTTACCCTTCTTAATAAACTCGAATATTGTGATTATAGAGGGCGTGTCAATTGGTCAATCCATGGACTTAACATCGCTATCTCCCATAGTTTACCAATTAGGGAAAATGATGCCCACACTTTTCCGTTAAGCAATTTTTTTTTTCACTTCTTTCGTATTTGGTACTAATCCGGTCTTGGAATAGGTCCTCGCACATTACCCGCTGAAAGGCGCCAGTAATGGCATGATAAGCCACCGAGGCAGGTGCAAATGCTAAACCCCAAAAGCTGCTAAGATCTACACACACACACACACACACACACGACTACAAAGACTAGGCTGTGATCAATCAAATTTCCTATCTCCTTGCCTCCCCTCACTTCTTTCTACTTTCGTGACCGTGTAACACGTATAGGAGACGTACTTTGAGTAATGGGTCATATAAAAAAAAAAAAAAAAAAAAAATTAATTATCGGCTTTGCGCACATGGCCAGCAGGCAGGCAATCGACTGATAGGCAAGGGAACGCCTGAAACTAAAACAACTAAATATTATGTCTGAGGCATATATTTCAAGGATCTGGGAATGTTTTCTTATCTACAATAATTGGTTGGAGGGGTGGAGGATGCACGCAATAATAAAACAATTGTTATAAACACCTACGCACACCTACGAACGAAATGGCTTTGAATTTTACTACTTGCTATTATCACTTATTAACCGGAACAGTATAAAGTTAAAAATTTATATGACATTCAACTGAATGCCTACCATCTGTTAAACAGGGTTTTGTTTATTAATTAATTATTCACTTATCATCATTTACTTTTATGGACGATTAGATTTCTTTATATGGGCTTTTATAGTAATTGTGTAATGAATATATTTTATAAATTAACGGTATAAACAATCTTTTTGGATAAATTTTAATCATAATTTCCTGAATATTTTATATATAAAATGCAAAAAATTAATAGCGAAGCTCCAGTATGCGATTTGGGTTTCAATGAAAAGGTAATTATCATCTACTATCATTACCGATCAAAATTATTGATTAACATTTGCATAAACAGTCTGTAACTGTCGTGACAATTAATTTTTTTTTTTTTTTTTTTTTTTTTTTTTTTTTTTTTTTTTTTTTTAAACGTCTCTAACATGCCAAGCTCGTGTTTAGTGAGAAGCACGTGTCCAAGCATTTCGAGCGTAAATCGTTAAAAGAAATGCCTGCAAATACCTAATGACTTTATTCAACACACAAGCAAACAAACTGTTTTGCCTTTTTGTTATTTTATAGCCATTGTAACGTATAAATAGCTAACAGTCATTTCAAATGATAATATATTGTTAAATGCTTTGAAAACTATTTTCTATAAAAATCATTAAATTTAACACGATAACGTTACACACATACACACACACTAACAATATTCCATACGATCATCATCATTCAGTTAACAGTGAAAGGATTAAAATATATTGGGCACACACACACACATATATGCAAATATATTAAGAGGAGGGAACGCGATTGACAATAGCTACTAGTTTACGAAATTTCGGTTCGCCGGTTTTGCACCACTTTCTGGAAGGCTGATACGAGCTAATAAATAATGGCAATAATTGATGCAAGCTGTCGAGTGACAACTCGTGGATTCACTGAGTGAAATTTAAATCTTTTAAATTTTGCTGTTCTTGATAAATGATTCACTCAAGAGATTTCAATTTATTCGCTACATACGCAAGTTGTCGCGTAACGAGTAAGAGTCTTCGCATTAGATTAGAAACAACTTTAAGGATTGCGATCTTCTTGCAGTTCTATGCAGCTTCGCTATAGTGGTCAGACTAGATGTCGACTTATTGTCTGCCCGTGCTTTACAGATTGCATTTTCACGAATATCGGATTTTTAGTTATTCTGCTGCTGGTATTTTTCAAATATGATTTGTGAACCTACACTAACAACATACATGTTAAGCTGTTGTTTTGCTACGGCAATGTCTACAAGTTCGGAAATTCTAACAGGGGACTAAATTAAATTCGATAAAGTTTATTAACTGCAGCTTTGGTTGTTATCTCGTGTTAACTTAATTTAGCGAATGATTAGATGTCTGCTCTCTAAGTAAGAATGACTTGACCGATTTCTTCGATATATTGGGAAAATTTTATAAACCTCTTCTCCTAGGCCCGGAGTAGGTAAATACACTTGAAAAGCAATTCTCTTCCATTTCTGTGCGTTATACGTAATCATTGTTGTTTTACACGCCATTTAACAGAGGAGTTAATTAATTTTTTAAGTCCTTTATGTGTTCTCGCAGCTAAGACTAAGCAAAATCGCACGAATAGGTTTTGCTTTACCGGTGATAAGCGTTTTTAGAAAGTAGATTTATTTTGACATAGTTTTGATTAACCTTACGCTTATTATACTGAAATGTGTCGATCACCCGATCAGCTGCACACTATATGTGTTCGTTTATAAAGTGAAGGAAATGAACAGACCTAACCAAGACTGAATTAATTATTCAAATTTTTACATATATTATTAAAGGCAGTAAAAGCTTTAAAATTCTTGCTCATTATTCTTACTTTGTTTGTTGCGTATTATCGCTGAAGCGTAAAAAAAGCACGTGATTTAATTAAACTCACTTCAGCAGCTTGAAGTTGGCCGGTTTTAATGCTCATTATCGGAGAAGGGAGAATGCTAATTATCTCGTGCCGCCACCAGTGGTGCTTGTCGCTATCATCGAATTTTCAAATCTGATCTTTATGTGCGGATATCTGTCGATGCAACTATTGTTGAAACTCGCAAAGTTATTGTTATTATTATTATTATAATTAATTTAGCCAGAGAAATAAATTCTAAGACTAAAGTCTTGAAGCACCAGCATTCAAGGTTCTCGGCTTTATTGGAATTTCTGTCTTACTTGAGAAATTCAAAAATTCTATAAATACGTTAGCCATTGTTTTACCGAAGAAAAAAAAAGTGTTTCGGGGAATAAATCTTTACATTTTAAAAAAGTTCTCATTACAAGTATTAGCTGTCAGCTGGAACGTTAATGTGAGCGAGCGTTCCGCAGATGTAACTATAGATGAAAGAGGAGCAAAAGCGTTTCCGGGCCGTATGTTTAAAATCTGGTATCTTTAAAAATTCCTTTTCAGGTTATTACATTAATGTCGAAAGTTATTTCGTTTACGATCGAAGGCGAGAGGAGATGCCTTTCAAAAAGAGTTAGTCATCGCTGTTAGCGAAATTTATCTTGATGAAGAAAATGTTTTTTCTTCTGTTCTTGATGCACGGTTTTGCGAAATTATTTTTTTAAAGGGTATTAAACGATCCGATGTGAACGATTACAATATATATGTTTTTTGTGTATTTAGTTAATTAAAATTATTACATTCTCAAGCTCAAATTATCTAAGATATTGAACAACAATGACGCTTATCTTATCGCGGAGATTATTTTAATACTTCTTACCGGAGACTACAATTTATATCAATCATTAATTTCTTAAATGTTAGTAGCTATGTTTCTTATCAAGCCTCTGCTTTGATAAGTTATAGCAAAGTTTAAAAGAAAAAAAAAAAGATTTATTTGCTTTTACACTGTCGCCAGATTCACATCTTAAATATTTAACTTTCATTCTCCTTTTTAGCGAAGACGGGTTGATGTGTAAAGCATTGCTACTAATGTTGCTGTTGACGTTACATTGCATATACTATTTGTTAACGAGTGAAGATCGAGAATATTGCATCAAGCAACCTACGATTAGGAATTGTGTAGACAGAAAACTTACCCATGGGATCATTACGAAGAATGGGGAAAAGACAAATGGAAAAAGAAATCTAAATATCTTATCCTGTCCATTCGTAGACAAGCTTTTTTTAATGCATTACAGAAAATTCAGATATATTTAGATAGTGTTAGGTTACCGTCCGGGTAAAGTTGGGAAGGACAAGCAAGCTCTTAACAATGATGTCAGTAAAGCATGACAATATCGAAACAATGATAATAAGTTTTCCGGTAAAAGTTATAAAATTAACAAGCAAGAAAATCATACTCAGTCGTGACGGAATATTTTATACGCATCACCGTTATCCTAAAAAACCAAAAAAGGTCGAAGTATTAAAGTTTCCTGCTCTATATTATGGAGTGGGCGAGGCTGATTTTTTCTAATTTAAGTCACATCCAAATTCTTTTGCAAATTTGTCGCCGATATATTCATTTTGGCTAACGGCAACATGTTTACCACAAATAATGCATAAGTGGGCAGATGGATAGATGAACAGACGAACAGATGGACATGCTTAGGTGTTTAGGTGCATTCCAAATTAGAAACTGTTCATGAATTTATGTAGTTTGTGGGATTTTGAAGCTTGTTTCTACGCCTTATAAAGGCACTGAAAAAAAAATTAATTTTGATATATTATAATAGTGGGTAGGCGTGGTCAATTTTTTCCATTTTTATACAGGTACTAAAGCATCGCCTACGGAGTCCAATGTTTTTGTAGATTTATCTGCCGTAATTTATAAGTAATGATGAAAAAAACAATTTGAAAAATAGAGCTGTTTTCAGTTCGCCTGGTACTGTAGGCGTATCTTCCGGTGGATTTGCCTGTGTGCAAGAACTTTCAATGTCCCTGACAAACGTGAAGAAAATAGTTTCATTTTTAAAAGAGGTATTTAACATGGATAGGACGGACAAACGGAACAGGAGGGAGGGACGGACATGCCCAAAACGATTCAGAATTTGATGCTGATTAGGCATACATGTACGTTACTTAGGAAAAGTTCCTTCTGGGCGTTGCAAATGTTTTGACAAGATATAGTCCTGACCCATCGTTGATGGGTTTAAAAGAACATGTGCCATAAAGTGAGACAAGAGGACCAGAAGAACAACAGAATTTTTGTAATAATTTCGCTGCTATAGGGAAATAACTAACTTTGTTCTACTTTCGTCCAAAGGAAATCGTGTACTTAGATTGTACTTCAAGGTGTTGCCATGCTGTCTCTCATCTCAAATCGAGTAAGTCATGACAAACTACAAACCGCTACTACAGTTAAAAACGAATGAAACAAAGTAATGAAATTCATTATCATAAGACTAACAAGGAGATATCGGGAAGATTAAAACCATCAATTGTAATTATTTTGCTGCTTTTGTTATTATTGTACATGCTATCTATATATAAACGTATTGTTGACCTTCAAGTATCTATAAATTTATATATATTGTTGTTGTCTGAGATAATAAAAAAGTTTACGTCGATTTTAATTTGTTATGTTAATTAAAAATAAACATTTGACGGTATTTACCTTGTCTGGGGAGTTAATTGGAAACAATTCTATCTTTAAAAGAAAGCATATATACGGATAATGAGATGAGATCAGATGAGTAAAGTCTTGCCATTTGTCCGTCACGCAACAATTTTAGATGCTAGGCTTGAAGTTTGGTGCCGGTTGGATTACCAAACAAGTAAATGCGAGCTCAAGAAACTACCTAATTGCAAGGAAATCCGGAACACTTACACACAAACCCAAGTTCTCATCATTACCATTATTATCATAAGAGTGCAAAATTATGAGCCAACCAGGCATGGCAAGTAAACTTCGCTTCACCCAAAACACAACCACGAGTTGCCAAAGCATTTGAACACAGCTTAGGCAGCCACGTAGGTTCTTTGATTCCTCTATTGCTCTATTCCTTGAAATATCTCGCAAAGTTTCACTTTACGAGTTTGGCGGAAAACATTTAATGTAAAATTCTCAGAGATAAGAAATTCTAGATTAACTTTCGTAGTTTGGAATAATAATTGTATATTAGTGGGTTTAATGAGCTCAACTTTTTTAAAAGTACATTTTCTATTTCAGCACGAGGCCATTCAACCTGAAGCCCTGAAAATTGCCAGTAAAAGCCGTAGACGTTCATCAGCTGCTTCTACGTGCTCGTTTAGTTCGGGTAATCTATAGCTTAAAGTTTTATTATCCTCAAGCCTTTTGCTTGAATTTGTTGTAGCGTGTTTTACCGGGAGTTCAGATGAGGACGACATTTCGCCAAGAGAAAAGCGCCAATGCAATAGCAGAGGTTACACCGATTTCTGTGTTAAAAATGTAACCAATCACCATGCGTTCGGACGTCGAGAAATCGAGATAGCCGAACAGGAGATGCCCGGCATTATGACATTGCGTCGACGAGCCGCTGATGATAAGCCGCTTAAGAATGCCAACATTGTCGGTTGTACTCATATCAATGCGCAAACCGCTGTGCTTATCGAGACTTTGATCAAGTTGGGGGCATCGGTACGTTGGGCTGCTTGCAATATTTATTCTACACAGGTGGGCGTTTACATACATAAACAGAATTGACACAAATCAATTAATTGTTAATTGTTAATAAAAAAAAAAAAATATTGAAGAACGCTGTAGCTGCTGCTCTAGCTGAGGTAAATGTGCCAATATTTGCCTGGCGCGGGGAAACTGAAGAGGAGTTTTGGTGGTGCTTGGATAATTGTGTAAATGCGGACGGTTGGCAGCCTAATATGATCCTTGACGATGGAGGAGATGCTACTCATTTAATGTGGAAAAAATATCCCGAACTCTTTAAAGGTATTAAAGGAATCGTAGAGGAGAGTATAACAGGTGTCCATCGTTTGTATCATATGTCGAAAACGGGGAAATTGAGTGTGCCGGCCATCAATGTAAATGACTCGGTTACAAAAATGAAATTTGATAATTTCTATAGTATTCGGGAATCAATTTTGGATAGGTAGTAATCTTTTTTAGACTAAGTACTATTCAATAAAGTACTTACTCCGCATATATCTTTGTTCACATTAGTTTGAAACGTGCTACCGATGTCTTATTTGGAGGAAAGCAAGTCGTTGTTTGTGGCTATGGAGATGTAGGCAAAGGTTGCGCTAAAGGTTTAAGGGCGCAGGGTTGTATTGTCTATGTAACAGAAATAGATCCGATTTGTGCTTTGCAAGCGAGGTCAGGAAAATTAAACAAAGTTAAAAATATATTTTAATCTTTTTTTTTCTTATGTAATTTTAGTATGGATGGCTTTCGCGTCGTTAAGCTGAACGAAGTTATTCGAAATGTGGATATAGTGGTGACGGCTACCGGCAATAAACATGTAGTGACACGAGAGCATATGGATCGTCTGAAACATGGTTGCATTGTCTGCAATATGGGTCATTCGAATTCAGAAATAGATATAGTAATTTTGAAAGAAGGATTCCTCTATAAGATAATTAATATTATCTTTTGCAGAATAGTCTTCATACGCCTGAATTAACTTGGGAACGGGTTCGTTCTCAAGTTGATCACATCTTTTGGCCGGATGGAAAGATGATGGTACTTTTAGCTGAAGGAAGACTTGTCAACTTATCTTGTTCGACCATTCCTTCGTTTGTAGTGTCCGTGACGGCTTCGGCTCAGGCGTTAGCTTTGATTGAATTATATAACGCGGTGCCAGGACGTTATAAATCTGATGTTTATTTACTGCCTAAGAAAATGGGTTCGTATAGAAAAAGCTTTAAATAGGAATTCTTTACGGCAATTAAATGCCATTTTTTTTTTTGATTTTCTCAGATGAATATGTATCCAGTTTGCATTTACCAACATTCGACGCACATCTAACAGAATTAACCGACGAACAAGCCAAATATTTAGGTCTTAATAAAGCTGGTCCTTTTAAGCCGAATTATTATAGATACTGATTGTTGCTTTTTCATCTTCCCTCCAACAATACAGTATTGATCCTATTTTGCTATTATGCATGTACAAAAAAAACTTGTTACGTTATATTATATTATGCTTGAAATTGTACTAAATATGAAAAATACATTTATTTAGTTTTCCATTGACGATAGAATTTGTTTATATACATTTTGAAACATTTTGTTTTTTGGAGAAATCAGCCGACAGACCATTTTACTTTGAGCAGTTTAATAGCAGATGTTTCGATGTCGATTGTCTTCAAAATATCTTCTTCAAATAAGCTTTTTGATCAAAGAGCAGCTAGAGGTATAATTATTATTAATAATTTTATGCTTTCCCAATTACCAAACGAATTTTTTAAATCCAAATGCGACCATACCAATATTCCAACATCTTAATTTATTCAATTAAGAATACTTTTTAACTTTCTAATACGAAGGTTTGACTTTTATTCAGAATATCAGAATCATACCTCCAAGGGTAACAAGAATCTATTTGCAGATACCATTTTCAAAATTTCAGAATATCTGTTCAATTTATTTGAATTAAGGTTTGCAAGGAAGAAATTTGAGCAATTGGTAGAGCAGCTGTTTTCCAAAGATGATATTTATTGAATGGAATTATCGATAACTGAAAAATAAAAGTAGTCGATAAGTGGAAACGATTGCTTTGACTTTTCGATATATTGTATTTTTTTCGTTTATATTTTTCTTTTTTTTAAGATTGTGACTTGGGTGTTTGTACCTGTGGATAAGTGCGTAACGAAAACTACCATCCTTAGCATTTCAAAAATTCACCAACAGGTGGCGCGTAAGCAAGAAAGTTTTGTTAAGTGAAAAATGACTTTAGACGAAACGAACTGTTACTTAATTGAATATGATTGATAATTGATATATGATTTCAAAGAATACCTTTTTTCTCTATTATTTTACTATACCACCTTTAACATACTAGACCTGTTGAATTATTGAGAACGAACATGCGTTTATTTCCTAAAGTCCCATAATACATGTAAAGAAATTTATTCAAACATTCTCAATTGTATGGAATTTGTATTTTCTCAGATGGTTGGAATTTGTTGCTTTTTTACAAAGACTTGTCATATCGCAACCAGCTATCTTTATTAGCGATCTATCCTTGAAAGTGGACTCTGGATCTGTGGCCATTTCCATGCCCACGATTTCGACTGCTTGTTTCTCCAGACCATGACGACGTACAAAGGTCTCGGAAGCTAAGCAGCAGAACCGTCTGATATTAATATATGAATATAATTTTCTATTATAAGATAGTGCAATAATTTTGTTTTACAAGCAGAAATAATTTTTTAAAGGTGGCGATTAATAGTAGACTCTATATTCATAGAAAATTTAGAAAAGCAAATTGGTGCACAGTTTGGGTATAAACTGTAGGAAGGAATTTCGAATGTTTTGACATGTAAATAAGTGCGACTATTAAGTCGGCATACCAGGGTTTATTTCCCAGTGGTAGACCAAACTTCAATTGTTGAATGAACTTGAGTATATTTGTAAATATCCTCCACCATGATAAATATCCCCGACATAGAAACTATTTCATACATGTTTACCCTCGTAAATCTCCTTTACCATGAAAAATGTCCCTGACAAAGGAATTATTGGATTTTTTTACGATGGGCCAAAATGAGACGCTAATTGTTTGTTGCTACAATGTTTTTGATCCAATGAAAAAATTTGTTAAACCATAGTGCGAAGAAAATGTGAGAAACAGTCGTTCTTGCCGGCCTCTCATTCCATATCCATATGTTGGAACCGCAATGTCTAGAAGAAAAATTTATTACTCTCATCAATTTAGGTTCGAAAACCAGGTAAATTACGCTATGGGCTGCATTCCCTGAAAGCTGAAATACATAGAAAAAATGCAGTTTCTAAAAAATTATACGACGTAGTGTGTGTGTGATAGAATTTATTTCACGGCAATGATTGATTAAGTATTGTACACAAGCTTGTAATATGTATCCAAATATTCGGTATGGACAGAAACTAATTTCTTTCTTGTCAATTGTGAAATGGTGCGAACAAAATCAATTCTAGGAAATTCCTTTCTCTACTAGCATTAGAGGTGTTTTGTTTGTTGTGTTCAAAGAAGCCTAAAAAAAGACGAAACTTTCCAATCTAAAGCATTTCTGCACTGCATGCACACTTGAAGAGCAATCTCTCAGGCTTAGCCTGACTTAGAAGAGGGAGTAACACAGTTAATGTCCGTTTTTACAACAGAAGCGACGAACGCATAACAGCAGACATTATTTTAAGATGTTAGCAAAAAAACTTACAAGGAAACTAGTATAAAATGAATTCTTTTCCGTTTTTTTGTTATGATTTGTTCCTCGAATTAGGGAAAAGCGTACGATCTATTTTTCTTATTACTGCAGGATGCACAACAGGGTCTTTAAAGATGTAGCGAAAAATCAAGAAATTAATCATTCTATGAAATTTTCCAAATTTTATAATCGAGAAATGACTTTTGAGTATAAGAACATTTTTAATTAGGAAACGCATTCAAACTGTATTAATGGATTGCACTTCAATTCGAAAGAAAATCTATGGAGGGTGAATGTCAACGACACGTATATATCTTTTAAAGGAGTCTTAATATTAACATTATTTAGTTAAGTAGTTTTCAAATGAAAATGAGTGCCTTTATATATGAAACGTAGGTTCGCACAATGTGCAAGTAAATGAAAACGATTCCGAATGAAATAATAAATCAATTTTCTTGCTTTGTTTGATACAACAAAACAAGTAAGAACACTATAGTGCGGCAGGGCCCCATCTACAGTTATTCATACATATTTGGGCCAAAACATGTCATTGTATTAAATTTCATCAAAATATCTGAAAAATTTCCGCCTATAAATTGAGCAAAATCAAGTAAGACGGATAGACAGACAAGTTTACATCGAGGCAAAAAGTGATTATAAATTGATCGGTATAATAAAAGGGAGACTATCTCAAGTCCTTCTGGGTGTTACATACATCCGCACAAACTTAAGATATGTTCGTACCACAAGTGGCATTGGGCATAAAAACGGAAAAACCGAAAATGAATAGCATTTGAGCATGTTGTGATGTTTTAGTTTTGAACTGTTGTGTGCTAACCTAGTTAAAGGTTTGGTTTGTCAAATTCCAACATAGATAACCGTGTTACTAACTCCCTTTCGATGACTTTAAGAGTTCTTTCACAACAACAAGCAACTGACAAAAAGACGGTTTAGGAAACTGATGCTATAAGTATCCCGTTATTTCAACGACCAATAGTCATAAGAGCAAACGATGTGTTCTCTTGGCATACTTTTTGTAAGCTTTGTTCAAGTTGTGTATTTCGGAGCAATGGTTATGATAGAACTCTTAAAAAGCGATTCTTTTATGAAACCATATGCTAAGGTCACGAAAACTTAAAACGGAAAGAGAGGGAATATGCCTGCATGTGTCTTCTGCGATATTGCTCAGAATACTATGATCGGTCTACGCTGATAAAATACTATGTTGTTCGATATTTTCTGAAATAGCGCATCGATTGCCTCTGAAGGCAAGTCTTTTGCACTGTTATGTGTTCCTGGAGCTTAGCCAGGAAAACCCAGGAAATTGCAGGAAAATATGAAAACAATTCTTAACATCTTCGTTCTGTACGTTTAAATTACTTTACGTACCGTGTACGTAATCTTACCTTTTATAAAGTTGGCAAAGCCTGCATTTAATTGAATAAGATGGAATTACAGTAACTGTTATTAGCTTTGTTGGTGTAAACAAAGTTTAATTACTCTCCTGTGCATGTACAGCACGATCTGCTATAATACAATAATGTAAGACAATGTTATTTTGCAATGGCATTGGAAATGGTAAAAGTTTACCGCTTCCCCGACTAATAGAAACTTGTAACATAATAATTAAATGCAACAATTTATGTAATGGTTGCATATCATCACTGTACGTACTAACTACTAATCCTTGGATGGAATAACTTAATCGGCAACTTATTGGTGCAAGTGCTTGAGTGCAACGACGAAAGCAAAATTTGTTCAAGGCATTGCAAAAGGATGCGATCCCAACTCTCTTTAGCCTCAACTTGGTAATACGTTAGAAAGTTGGAAGCCGAAATTTTTAAGGTAAACATAATGACACCGTCCGCCCCAACCAAAGAGGTAACAATTTAACCGTAACTTCTGCTAGATAAGAAAGAGCAAAGGTCTTGAATTAATTTTAAATGGGCGTACTTTTGCCAAATTGATACAAGCTTAGACGTAGGGGTAGTCACCAAGCTAAAGGTTACCCTCTGGTTTAATAGCAGTTTCTGCCAAGCAGCTGAACACGAAAGAAAGATGCGAAATCTACATTGTGATTACTCTCCATACGTCCTCTACATATGTGATTACTCGCCAAAGTCTTCAAGTCAAATATTAAGCCTGGACTAGATATCATAATTAATTATTTCCTGAATGCTCTCCTTTTTTTTGAATATCAATCACATCGACTAGAACTAGGCTCGACTAGAATCATCAATAATTTTAATCTCAAGTGCGTAGACGCAGCAACAAAGCCTTAAAACAATTTACAACAACTTATTATGACAACCAGTGTTCTTCATAATTAAGATATCGTCACTATTCTGCTTTGTTTTATTCGCTGTTGTAACTCATTCAAGTGAGTCAACCATTCGAAGTCAACCATTAATAAAAAAAATTTAAAGAAACTGGTTCTGTTTAAGATAGACCAAGGCCAGGTAACGTGAAACGAGTTTGCCGGAAATTTTTCTTCTTGTGATGGAATAATTAATTTTCGCTTTTTCGAAAATGCATCTGGAGAAACTGTTACTGTCAATGGCGATTGGCTTGAGAAATGTCTTTCGCTTGAAGAAATTGCTATTAACGATGTCTACTCTTAACAAGGCGGAGCTGTGGCACAAACATTCAGTTACTTAAGGGGAAGTTTTAATGCGAATAACGGATAATTTTCTTGGGAGTTTCTTGGGGGGAAGGGAATTAACGAATTAGATGGGCGGATGGATGTCCAGAAAAGCTAGAGAGCATTTTTGATGTTTTTACGTATGGGCGGTTAAGACGGAGCGATATGAGTTTCGATG